AAAACTCGTCAAAGAGACAAGTCTTGTCTTCCTACCAATATAACCATGTTGCGAAAACAAGGTCAAACAACCTCTAAGTTAACTTCGTTTGCTACTTTAGCAACTTTTGATTTGAATTACTCTGTGATAATTCTGATTCATATTCGGATCAACTCATTTGAAATTAATTTGACCACTTATGCGAAGCTGAGTTAATATGTCTGCTATAGAAAACATGAACTTCGAAGTCTCACTATGAACTCGAAACTAAATTTAACTTAGCACTATCCTAAAAACGAGACCGCAACTTAAATGGAGATTATCTCGGTTCTAATATCTACTAAATTGTCTTACACTAACCATACTCAGTACTCAAATTAATTTCAATAAATCCCTAAAACTGCAGGTAGTAGTAATAATTTTCACAATATATTATAAAGCCTTTTCCTGATCTAGCAATAGTATAATATTATTCGTTTATAAGTAAGGTATCGTGACTAATACTTGTATAATTATGGGAAACTTCAGCTACCATTCCTTCATCACCTTAAACGATATAGGATGAATAGATCTTATATAACTATTGGTATAATATACAAAAGTTTGACAAGATATTAATATTGATATTTTCATAGTCGCTTTACTTTTATTTAATATAAATTACAACATTTAATTTATTTATTAGGCGATATTTTTTATTTAACTCTATATTATATTGACATTACTTTAAATACTTCAGCATACACGGTGCCAGCTACTGCCGCTGCACTTGATTTCGACTGATGGATTCTTCTGTTCTCGTAGCTGTCCGTTCCCGGCCTCTATCTAAATCGGAGTCTGATTATGGCTGCTCAAGTTGTGTTACATTCCTTGAAAATAACACTGTGCTTGTCGGCGCTGACAAAACTTTTTCCTTTGATTTTGCATTGGATGAAAATATCTCTCAGCAGGACTTATACAATAGATGTGCCAGAAACATGGTGGACACTGTTCTGCGAGGTTAGACAATTTAAAATTTAAATGTTTTAAACCTAGGATACAATGCGACTATATTTGCTTACGGTCAAACGGGGAGCGGTAAAACATATACGATGGGCACAAACGATTACAGTTGCCCACCTGAGCACATGGGTCTCATCCCCCGAATAGTCTCCGACGTATTCTCAAAATCGTCGTCTCTACGATTTGATTATTCCTTTCGCGTTTCCTTTCTTGAGGTATTTTTTTTATTCATCTACGTAAAGATATATAACGAAGACCTAAATGATCTCCTTAGCTCTGAGTCCGTCCCTATTTCTGTTCGTGAAGACGGGCAATCAATTAAGCTTGTAAACCTCAAGGAGTTTTCTGTCGCATCTTCCGAAGATGCTCTCCGCTTTCTCCAAGTTGGCTCGCACCGAAGATCAGTCGGATCAACTGCTATGAATGAGCATTCCAGCAGGAGTCATGCTATATTTACGCTGCATGTTGAATTACATTCAGAATCTGCCTCAGAAGTTGATGAAATTCTTAGCGCTAAACTTCATTTGGTCGATCTTGCTGGTTCAGAACGTGTTAAACGCACTCATGCAGAAGGCGAAAGATTAAAAGAAGGGATAAACATTAACCGAGGACTCCTTTCCTTGGGCAACGTTATTAGTGCTCTATGTGAAAAAGACGTTGGGAAGCGTCTTCATATACCTTATAGAGATTCTAAACTTACACGGATCCTTCAGGATTCTCTTGGTGGTAACAGTACTACGCTAATGGTAGCATGCATCTCTCTTGCTGATAATAGTATCGAGGAAACTATTAATACACTAAGGTTTGTATCTTACTTTCAACAGGGTCATAAATACCCTCTAATCATCTCTCGTAACATTATTGCTTTGTAGATATGCTGAGAGAGCCAGAGCCATTAAAAATAAGCCTGTCCTTAATCGAATACAATCAAAGGATGCAGAGATACAGCGTCTTAGATCTCTTGTGGCTAATCTTCAAAAAAAGCTCTCTATGTATGCTATGCTTTCATCTTATAAAACTGATGAAATGCCAATTCCTCATACCGTAGACGTTAGATGTGACCTGGACAAACTTTTACTCCATGAAGCACATTCATCTCAGGTTTGATCGCTTCTCATTTTTTTATAGAAGGATCCTATCTTGGAAGTTAGGCGTTCTGCACTTAAACGTGGAGCCGATATTGTGCCAAACAATTCTAAAAGATTTCGCCCCAATGATTCACAATGTTCGTCTTCAGATGATGGCTTTAACGTCGAGCAACTCGAATCTAACTATGCTCTCCCGATAGCTAGTGATTCTTCTTTCGAGCATGAGGTTCCTGATATTAATAGTGGTGAGGTTTATAATTTCTCTAGTTTTATTTGATTTCCTTA